GTTCACCAATAGGCCAAGGTGAAGACATTCCATGGTCTTAATCCATCAAAAGGTATTTTATGACAAAAAGATATTTTATAACTGGGATATTTTTTATAACAGGGCAATTTTTTGTGTTTGTTCACTTAACAAAATTTTGACCAGATATCCGATTCATTGGTCCAATCATCGCATAATTACTTTTCCAATTTTCCTTAACTAGAGTTAAATTAGCTTGGGCTTAAGAAAAAAAAGGGAAAAGTGGGAATTTTTTATTAAAAAAATAAAGTGATTGACGGAAAATAAAAGTCTCCCTTAAAAATATGTCAAAATATATTAAATAGATGAAATTGACTAAAGGAAATAGAAGTTGGGAATAAATCGACGAAATGAAATAGTCTATCCATTCTACCTGAGCACTTTTTTACAATCACGACATAAGATGTCAATAAGCAGCCATTCCACCGTACTAGTAGGATTTGTGCTACTTTCCTCCACAAAATTTTTGTGACACCAACTGCACTCCAATTTTCTTTCATGGTTTTTGGCATCTTGGCCCCCATCTGCGACAAATAAGAGTAGTAATTAATTAATAAAAATTGAATGTCCTTTTTGTTTGTTTGTACCTTAATTGTGGACTACTATATAATAAAAACTGTGTAACTTTTTAATTTCAGTAAATTAACTCTGAGATAAATAAGAGTTCTGATTTATCCTAATAATTATATATAGTGGAAAAAATGTCGTTTCTACCCAAAGCTTTACCCTCGTCGTCAATCATACCTAATAGATTTTTGGTTAGTCAACTTTACCCTAATGTTTGAAATTTTCGCCAATTTTGTCCAATTGGCCCATTTTCTATCCAAATTAACGGATCTCCATTAGTTTTTTAATAAAATAATAAATTTATTTACAAAAACACTCCAGTAATTTTTAAAAATGTTAAAAATAACCCCTAAAATATATAAAAATAATAGAACAGTCCCCTTTTACTTTTTTATTTTATTTTTTTCTATTTTGTTCTATTTCTCTCAACTAATTTTAATGACCATAAAAATCTATTATATCAGTTTTAAAAAAATATTTATTTATTTTTAAACTCTACGGTAAAAATTAATATTTGTATAGTTGTAACCCATGATGGTATTTATATAAGCATGTTAATTTTTTTAATAATATAGTTTAGCAATAAAGATACTATTTTTCTGATTTATTTTATTCTTCCTAACATAAAGATTAAAAATATTTAAATGACACTAATATTCCACATAAAAATGAAATATTAGCTCAAATAAAAAATATTAATATATTTTAGTGTATTATTATTTAACTCAAGAGACTATAAAGCATTAATATAATTCATAAAAAACTAAATAAAATATAAAATAATTAAGACACTATTTTTCTGATTTATTTTATTCTTCCTAACATAAAGATTAAAAACATTTAAATGAAACTAATATTTCACATAAAAATAAAATATTAGCTCAAATAAAAAAATAGTAATATATTTTAGTGTATTACAATTTAACTCGAGAGACTATAACTTGCATTAATATAATTCATAAGAAAAATAGCTAAAATATTAAATAATTAAAACCTTAAAAAAATCCTCCAAACATAAGTTTTCCTTCTTGAATCTAAAACCTATTTTCTATCACAAAAATTTATTACCATATTGTTACCTCTATTCATTTATTTTAAACTAAAATCATATAGAATAAGCTAGTAAGACTTCCTCTATAGTTAGATATATTAACATCTCAAATAATTATTACAAAATATTAAATCCTCGCATTGATAAGTATAAACATATTTTTTATAAATTATATTATGCCATGTAGTCTCTCTCGTTAAATTGTAATACACTAAACTATACTAATATATTATTTTTTATTTGAGCTAATATTTTATTTTTATGTGGAATATTAGTTTTATTTAAATATTTTAATCTTTATGTTAGGAAGAATAAAATAAATCAGAAAAATACTGTCTTTATTGCTAAACTATATTATTAAAAAGATTAACATGCTTATATAAATACAATCATGTGTTACAACTATACAAAGATTAACTTTTACGGTAGATTTTGAAAATAAATAAATATTTTTTTAAAACTCATATAATATACTTTTATGATCATTAAAAGTAATTGAGATAAATGGAAGAAAATAGAGATAAATAAAATAAAAAAGTGAAAAGGGACTATTTTGTTATTTTTATATATTTTAGGGGTTATTTTTAAAATTTTTATAAATTATTGGGGTGTTTTTGTATTTAAATTTATTATTTTATTAAAAAATTAACGGAGATCCGTTAATTTGGACGGAAAATGGGCCGATTGGACAAAATTGGTAAAAATTTCAAACATTGAGCTAAAGTTGGCTAACCAAAAATCTATTAGGTGTGATTGACGATGGGGCAAAGCTTTGGGTGGGAACGACATTTTTTCCATTATATATATATATATATATTCTTTTAATTTTTTTCAAGCCATCGGTTAAAATAAATCAACGGGCAATGCTTCCTCTTGTCTTATTTTCCTCTTGTCTTATTTCCTCTTGTCTCATTACCTGTCGTTCCTTTTGAAGATGACGATCCGGACGTTGGAGCAGTACTACTTGAATTAGTACTCATCGAGACGTTCAGGGTAACTAAGTTTTCTGGAGGGGGAATTTGGATTTCAACCTATAATAAAATATAAGGATTAACCAGTATCTTTAGATGTAAGAAATCAAAGAAGAAAATACGCATGGATACGAAAACGAAATGTTAACATTTCATTAGTAAACACTAGAGAGATTAAACGCACTTTGCACATACATTTTCATGTTATAAAAAAAATGAATAATTTATTTTAAATAATACTAATCCTGGTAATTATCATTATGTTATTCGTAGCACTATTTAAATATAATACGTTAAGAAAATTATCATCCATTACACTACTTATAAATACCAGAAGTTAGAAAAATTTTAGAAAAAGAATTATGGAATCCACAAATAGCAACTAATGTAGTTAAAATTTTCATTAAATCAATGGCTATTGATTTTATGTAGAAGTACTCATTACTTCAATACGTATTTGATCAAGTAACAGTTAATTAAGGGGAAGAGGGAAGAAAGGGTACATTTGAACCACATTAAAATATTTGAGAAAAAAAAAGTGTAACTAAAACCTATGAACTAACTAAAACCAAATAAGTATTATTTAAATGAAATTGTCTAAATCCTCAAATATGTATCTAAAAAACATTCTGCGGTTTTCATTATGAGCAGACATAAAATTACATATATAAAAATAAACCTTTTAAAAAAAAGATTTCTATGTAAAAAAATCAAAAAGTTCAAAAATAAACATGAAGATGAAGAGGAAGGAAAAGAGAAATAAAGATAATATATACCAATTTGAGATGACAGTAGATGGAAATTTAAAGGCAATCAATGGCATGATAAAAGTTAAAAGATAATAAAGTTGTTGTCATTCCCACATGCATAAAACGTCTTGAATAATTGTTTCTTTTATATAGAAATAACTTGAATATTCTTTTAATTGTTAGTGGAAGGTGAAAAGATGGTTAAGTGGGGTGAATCTAAAATGTGACAAGGAAGATGAAATGATATTTTGATTAAGTGGAATAGTAAATGTCCACTTCTTTAAGGAAGAAAACTGAAAATCTAAAATTTATAACAAAATTGATTATATTTAGATAACTTGGATATCTTTTTTAACCACTAAAGAAAGTAAAAAAAGATGTTTGAGTAAAGTGAATTGTCACCAGGAAGATAAAATTATATATTGATTAAGTTTAGTAGTAAATGCCCACTTCTTTAAGGTAAAAAAACTGAAAACTCAAAATTCGTTACAAAATTGAGCAAACATGATAAACAAATGAAAAAGACTATCAAACTCGAATAATATTTCTTAATTATAATATATGTTGATTAATGGTTTAAACCACGAGGTGCGTAACGCATGTGTATATAAGTATATTTCACAGTCAAATTAGGTTCTACTTAATCCTCACATTCCAATAATAAAAGTTGAGATTCCCGTCTTTCTTATAAGCCACAATCCTCACTTTTATCCATCCTTCCATTGTACTTAATTAAAGCAACATACAAAAAAGACGCATATCAGTCTCACATTAAAAATTTTTCCACCAAAACTACTTTTCAGTACAAAATGAAAAATGCCATGTGGCACTTCAGATGAGCAGAAAAATGATGGTTTAAGGAATTTCATAAAGAATTTAAGAAAATACAAGAAAGAAAAAACTGCACCACAGTTATCGGTAGCTAAACGATTTTCCCTAAAATTTGGAGATTAAGAATCAGTCTCATAATTACAGTATATATATCAATAAATGTTAGCTTGATAATAAACAGTAAATAAACAAATTAATATTAACAATTCTGCTTATTATATAACAAACACACAACAGTAAACATTGTAAATGATTTTCACCCAATCTATCATGGATCGAGACATCTGTTTCATTCCCTGAAATCTGGCTTCATCGTGTTTCTTCCATTTATTGTGCTCTAATTATACGGTAAACATCATATCAACTTCCCAATAACAATTTTGAATTTTAAAAATTAAACAATCAAATTAAATTAAATAACAATTCAGCACAAGATAATACCCTTACCATCGGTGATGAATTGATTGATTGATCCACGTTTATCTCCTTAACAATCTATAGGTGCATATCTCTTTTGCAGTTTTTCAGTGAACATCAAAATCCCAGAGATATGCTTACCTTCGGAATCCCATGGAATTGAAGATCACATACCCTGTATAAATACCTTCACAGGGATATGTGATACTCACCAAAACCTAATCATCTCCCCAATTCAACAACACCAAATTCCGTTTCTTAAATTAGGTTCACATGGCTGCACCCAAAAAAAAAAAACAGCCATGTTTTTGAACCTGCCACCATTGATTCTCAAGCTCTAATTGTTGCTTCTGTTTCTCATTCAAATTTCCAATCTCCCACTGTTTTGAAACTCCCATGGGTTCATCAGAAACCCCTCTTGTTGATTCTCATAATCAAATCCATCCTGAAATTCCAATTGCTGGATCTGAAACCCTTCATGTTGCTCATGCAGTTCAAACAGAAACACATGTTGTTGATTGTGAAAACCAACACCATGCTGAAAATCCAATTGCTGGAAATCAAACCCCCCCTAATGTTGATCAGCCAATTCCAGTAGTTGCTGCACAAAGGTACATTGTCGACATAAATGGATTGGTAGCAACCAAAACTATCCATTTCTACATAGTTGTTCGTGTTATGACCATTTGAAAAATGATAGAGATTAAAAACAAGAATGTCAAATCTGTTGAGTTGGCATTGATTGATGCTCACGTATTATATTATTTAATACAGTTTTTAAATTAATAATTAATGTTTTACACATTAAGAAGATGCAATTCTTATATAATTCTTTATCCAAACTTTTTGAAATATAGGGATCTAAGATTCATGCGACTATACTGTGAGGATAATGAAAGATTTCCAGAAGTATTTCCTTCAAGAGGGTTGTGCCAGGAGGATCTCACGTTTTGATCATTGCTTAAATATAAGTGGAGAATACCGTTGCTCAAAACACGAATACAAAAATGTATTCCGACTTGACGCATTGGTTCAATCTGCTAGTTACCATGACATCCAAAATCATGTGTTTGAATTTACCTCTTTTGCAGAAATTACCAATTTCGTTGCAAACTTTGGCTTCTGTTTTTGTAAGGATAATATCTTTTATATTTCAGTATAATATTTTGCTTATGCATCTTTTAAAAAACATCCAAGTATGATTAATATTCATTCATTTATATCAGATTTGTTGGGACACATAAATAGTTATAGTGATCCAATTATCGATAATGGTAAGAAGAGGATTTCGGTTGAATTGGAAGATGAAGGGTAAGTGATTTTACCAATGTATCTAATTTTTTTACTAATTTTGTATGTATATTCCTAATCAATTGAGTATACACAAGATATTTTGACTAATTCTAAATTAAATGCAGGGCCGATAGGTTAAAGGTCACATTATGGGATGAGCACGTAGACAGGGTTTATAACATGATAACTAAAAATCCTGATTACCTTGTTATCTTGATTGTTCCGTACGTGAAATGAAAAAATACTACTGTAGTATATTGGGTTTTAAAGTATAAATCTTTGTTTGTTCACATTAAATTTTAGCACTTTTAGTGACACACATATACTCTAATCTGATCCAGCTAAAGTTTCAATCACAATGAATCTGTTCAATGGTAGGATCTTCTTAAATGACATGACCATTCCAGATATATACGAATAAAAATTCAGGTAAAACAAAACTAATGTCACAGTTTATACAAATAGTTAAATGAAACCAAATTGGAATGGCAAGTAATGAACTCACCTTTATAGGATTGATCAGGCAGAGATTAGGTCTGTAAGCATCCAAAAGATTTCCCTCTTATCTTCCATTTTAGGATACACAAATTTCGAAGAATTTGTGCGTGATGCTGAGATGTTGACACTGGCTGGGATTGATGATTTCGAACAGGTAGCATGTTAATATATACTTTCAAACCATACAAAGTAAAATTTCCAAATTTACAATGTTTATTGATTTCTTACCCTGTAATGTAAGCGTTGACAGGCTTCTGGTGTTGTTGTTTTTGCAGAAATATCTAGATTGGCAAAAGAGTATGCCTGGTCATACATATGTTGCAGCAACTGTAACAGTAAGGTTGTTGAGATAGAATCATCTGCAAAGGAAAACATCACTGGGGGGGAGTAAAAAGGCTGCCTTTGTCAACGGTAGAAAGGTAGATAATGAAAAGCCAGTTGGATTAGCAAAGAAATAGATGTGCAAAAACCATGGGCATGTTTCTGCTATCGCTGCGAAGTAAATCAACTTTAGTCACATATATAGTTTATAATGTTTTTCATACTAAAAGTTTACATTATCTGTCTCTGTTACTTTGTAAAATTGGTAAGTGATGGATAAATTTCAGATTCAAGCTACAGGTGTATCTAGTTGATGGTTCAGGTAGCAGAATTGGTACTCTATGGGACAGAATGGTGTACAACTTCATAAACAAGAGTGCTTCTATGCTACGTGAAGAGGTACAAATTAAATAAAATAATAGCATTCACTGTTTCTACTCAAGTGCAACCGTTGCATTATTTTCAAGTTATTGATTATTATCTGCTATTCATTTGTAATGCTATAACAGTATCCCAAATGTTACCCTGAGATTCTAGATGAGATTGTGGGGGAAAAAGTGTCTATTCAGGCTAGATGTCCCAGACTATAACATTAGAAACAACACCAGTGAGATATCAGTTGCAAGGGTTACAACAGATGAAGACGTTATAAGGAAGTACCTTGATGCTATTTCTGATGATCAGGTTTTAAACAATAACATATTTATGTGTAAATCATTATAACTGTTGCTATTGTTTATCAGTCACATCATTTCATAAATTTTTCAGGAAATTCATCCTGAACTAAGTGTCGAGTTCTGCCACAATTTAACCCCATTATCTGAGAGCACTGCTAAGGTATTTAATAAGTGTTTATGTAATGTACAAATAAAACATACATATTACTGTAAGTAAACAAGTTTGTTGACTTACTTTTCCTTATACTTACAGACTGCAGTTTCGTGCACTGATGATATCGATATGGGAGCTCCTGGAGATGAAACGGGTGACGGTCCTCCACCGAAGAAGAATGCATCTATACAATGTGGCAAAGAAAGTGTCAAGTCCCACCCCAACAAGCATGTCAAGAAGTTTTAATCAGAATGAACAATTACCAAGAATTTTATATCTTAATAAAGGATGCATCTTTTGAACAATTTATTTCCCTTTACATAATTTAGTTTTCGTTGAGAACTTTATCCTTTAATCCGTCTTTTTCCTCTGAGAGCAGTACACCAATTAGATTTCAGAATTGTGATTTTAAACTTATTTGTTTATGTTTCATAATATTATGCCATCTGATATGGCGATTTCAATATTTGCATTATTTGAGCTTGAGAATATTTGTATCCATTTTACATTTCTTATAATTTTTATGTTCCTTATAACAACCAATCATTACATGCATATTTACTTTTACTTCCTAATAAAAAGTGCAGGTTTATTTACTTGATGGATCAGGATGCAATACTGGTAAACTATGGGTATACATGCACTGATAAGGAACATTGTATGTATTTATATAATGTACATATAAATCAATGGATTACTTGCAAGTAAACAAATTTGATGACTTACTATTCTTTATATTTACAGATTTCACTTTTGTGCTCTGACTGTTCTGATATGGGACTTCCTGGAGATGAAACAGATCACATTGCTTCACTGAAAAATTTCTCATTTGCACAAATTAGCGAATAAGTGTCAATTCCAACTCCAACAAGCATCTCAGGAATATTATCTGCAAGTTTTTGTAACCTTTTAGTAAAGGATGGATCTATTCATTCATAACTGATTCATGAATAATAATGTTTAGTTTGATGCTTACTTTTTCGGCCATTATGTTGTTTTTCCTGTAACAAGTACACCTGTTAGATTTCTGAGGTTTGGTTTTAAAATTATACGTTTATGTTTTGAAGGTTATCAGTTAATATGTGTCGATTTCACTATATGAATTATTTGTAATAACTTATTGGTTATCTCCATTTTACACTTACATGAGAAAAAGTAAACAAAATAATCGCAATAAATTTATATTTCCAGTATTTTTGATTTAAAAAATAAGGGACACAGTTTAATATCGAATATATTTAGATAAACATAACAAAGAAGGACAGAGTACGGAAAAGTATGATTCTGAAAATCTTAATCAAATATTATCTAAGTTGAAACTGAATAGTTGTCATTAAGAACAACTGAATTAGGAGTTTCATTTTAAACAAAAATCCTCATAACTGACCGTCAGTTCCTAATTTTAAGGTGCCTTAAATAGGTGTACAACATATCCAGACTATTTATAGTCACACATAACATATCTAGATCGTTACCAAGTTCTTTCTCCTTCTTTTTACATTAATTTTCATTCTAAGAACAGGCAGAACACAAGTTGCCATGGATTTCAGGTACGATCAACTTATTACTGTGCCAACAGACATATGGAGAAAGGAATTGGTAAAGTATATAATACAAATTCTGCTTGAATAATATATACTATGTCATCCTATTTTTAATTTTTTTATTTAACAGATACTTAGCAGTAACCTTACTACAAATATGAAGCATTTCATTCAGCAAACAATGATTGAAGTCCCTGGGAATCGAAGTGTGTTTGGAAATTTACATATTAATAAAAGAAGAAGAAGATGTCAGTTGTGGGGGAATGCTCTAGAAGAATTCTTTACATCCATTGGTGTATCTCCTCACACAAAAATTCATATTGTTTACCAGCAACAAAGAAAAGTTCTTCAGTTATTTTATTTTTTTTTATGATGGAAGACATCGGCTCACATCAGATCCAGCTGCAAATATTGGCAGTCGTTACCTTTTGGAATTGAATCCAAACGTTGCCAATCGATGTGTAAGTTTTTATAAACAGAATTTCATATATAGTATTTGACTTTTAATCTTTTACTATTTAGAATTATTTGACATATGTTCTATCTTCTTCTCAACCTTAGGCTATTAACACACAGTACTTTAGAGCCATAAATTGGCCTTCAGAACAAAAGCTTTCATTGGTAATTTATGATAATCAGAAGCAGTGGAAGTTTTAGATATATACCTAAGAAAATGATCTAGTAGGTTTTGAAGGCCCTATGTGGGAAGAATTCCATGACTTCTATTTTAACCACTATGAATGTGTAAATGTTATACTCATTTACACTGAAAATCTTTACTTTAAGGTAAGGGTTTTTAACAAAGAAGGGTACTGTTTCAGCCATCATCAGAATACTATCGGTTCAGACACATCTGAAGGTTTGTATAGGTTACTTATGCTGTTTACTACATTTTATTTCACTTTATATAAATTCATATATCTTTCTATGTGTTTATATAGAAATCTAAAAACATGAAATATTTACATCACAAGTGAGGTTGACATAATTAACTACATAAGGTCTAACAGTGATCATAATACTTTCAATGTGGTTATGACCACTGATGTAATTACCGATGGTAGACTGGTAAAAATATTTAAACTTTATTAATATTACATCATACTTATAATATGTAACAACAATTTGTTAATTGAATTATTATTTCCTCAACAATATTTAATGTACTGAATCAATTATTTGCACATTGTCAGAAGATTGGACATTCAAGACTATTAATTATTGATCATGTACTACGATGGAGAACCTATTATTAGTATGGTTCGTGCCAGTGCTAAAGATTTTCCACATCGCTTCATTGTTCAAGGAGACCTCCAACATATGATGTCTTTGAAAAGGATCCCAACTGGTATAAAGATCGGATTTCGTATAGACGCCCAGAAGGCAGCCAACAAGGAGTCATTGATATTGGAAGTGCTGTAATCAAGTTTAAGTGTAGTTTTTAATTCAGTTTCGGAGAATAAGTTATTTTATTATTAATAAATTTCAGTCCAAACAATTTCAACCTTTAATTAATGTTGTTTTTGGATTCTTTACTAAAATACTGGAATATAATTGTTTTTTATAATAAAAGAAAATTTAGTACATTCATTTGGTCATAAAACATTTTTTAATGTCAAAAAAAATGTCATCAATCCATTTCCTTCAATTTTGCATGTACATATTTAAAATATATTTTACTTTACGATTTTATTCACATCCATAGTACTTAATAATGTTATAGTTTGGAAAATATTTTACTTTATTTAATACCATGGATTGTGTAATTCTGTAAATATATAATTACCATATTTAAAATACCTTTTATTTTACGATTTTATTCGCATCCATAGTACTTAATAATGTTATAGTTTGGAAAATATATTATTTTATTTAATACCATAGATTGTATAATTCTTTAAATTTGTTATTACCATATTTAAAATTCCAGTCCTTTTTACACTTAATGTTATGGAATCCTATATTTACTTAATTATAATTAATACTTATGAAAATTTGTTCATCTCTATCATTTACATATATAAGATAAGTTACTCAACCAGTATCAATCATCAATAAGATACATATTCTTACTGACAGAGGTTCACTAATATATTATCTCTTTTTTCATATTTCACTACATATTCTATACTTCATTGGTTTTTTAAGAACAAGGAAAAATTATATGAACGACGATGACGATTTCTGATAAAAACGCTGCAAGGTTATTCAGAAAGCAGACAATGGACAAGAAAAGGCATAGGGTTATTCGACCTATAAGATATGTGAAAAGTAAAGTTCCATTAAGATTACCATGGCCTGATCCATTGACTGCTAAGATCTCAAGGTCTCACAGGAAGAATATCTTATATCAGGGACGTTTCAGTTCAGTTTTAAGTAACCAATCTGCAATCATCTGTAACAGGGAAAGACCCATTTCTGGAAAGGGTTTTCGATTGGGGAGGAAGAAACTGTTGGATAAAAAGAAGGGCAAAGTTATTCCTGAAGAACAACTTGTTACCTTTGGGGGTATTGTTATTAATGATTCCACAAATTTCACAGGCAATTTTTCCAGGAATACATCTTCGTAACAAATCATAAATACCGCAAGTACTAATCAAGGTCGCAATTCCCATTCACAGTTACATAAAACTGTAAATAAATTTAAAAGTACATATTATCTTCCACGTTTACCTTTTCTTTTCAAGTTTTGTTGTACTTAACAGTTACACAGACTGATTTCACATTAAGATAATAGATCTAAAGAAGTACCTGTATTATTATATTTCTTCATACGAATTCACATTGTATGAATTTATCAGCTGCTTCGGCTGAGATTTTGTCTGCAGAATCATCTATAACCCATCGAAGCTCAGCCAGTCAATCAAAAAAGGGTTTGCGGCCTGGAAAGTACCAAATCAACCACATAAATTTCACTCAGATAAATACAAGTAAGGTTGAATCAAATGTAAATGCATATATTATTTCCAGTTAGTTTCACTTTGCTGACAATAAAATCCCACATTATTTGAGTTTTGTAGAATATGATGATTTGGGAGATCCCGCGTACGTATGTGAATATGGTGGATCGAATATGTGTATGTAGAAAGAGTAAAGTACAGGAAACCTCAGCAGGCTAAATTTTCTATATGTCACAAACAAGGAAGAATACATCTCCCTTTGTTAACTGAACCACCTCAGAAGTTAAAAGAATTATTCATTTCAAATACTAAGAAAAGTAAACACTTCCTGGAAAATATCCGAGCATATAATAATATGTTTGCTTTTACTTCTATGTGTGGTAACATAGTCAGTTCAATTAATGATGGTCGTGGCCCTTATGTATTCAAAATGTACGGACATAACAGCCATTTGATGGGTAGTTTACTTCCAGAAGACAATGAAAAGCCCAAATTTTCTCAGTTATACATATATGACACCCAGAATGAAATCAATAACAGAATTGGAGCTCTAAGGTACGTTCCATTTATTATATGCATAGTAAATCATATATTACGTAAATATGGAACTATCATGTATTTTAGTTTAAAATTACATGATGATGATTCTGTGTTCTCATTTAATTGCAGTTCAGGAAAAAAAACAAACAAAAACAAAGGAACTTGACAGTCAGATTGTGGACGACATAAAGTCAACTATGGATGAACACAATGTATTGGTTAAGACATACAGGAAGGTGCGTGACACAGTTCAGACAGACGGTTCAAATGAGATTAGACTTGAGCTAATTTCAACTAGAGAAACTGATGCTCGAACGCATAATCTACCATCTGTTGATGAAGTAGCAGCTATATTACCAGGCGATGAAGGGAATGAAACTGAAACCAGAGACATTATTATTCAGTACAAGTCTGGACAACTGCAACGTATAAATGAGTTGTATTCATCGTATATTTCCCTCTAATATCCTATACTGTTTCCTTATGGTGAGGATGGTTTCCATGTTAATATCAAACTCAGGAATCCAGACAGTGATTCTGATGAAGAAGATCAGTGCGATGATATTGATGGTGTTGATGACCAGAAAAAAGGACCACGAAAATGGATGAGCATGTGAGAGTGGTTTGCATACGGTATAATGGATAGAGACATGGAAGGATCATTGCTATTATTGGCACGCAGGTTATTCTAGCAATTTTTAGTAGATGGTTACAATGTAGTTGAAGCTGGAAGAATTTTTTGGATTAGAAAAAATCAAAGAAACCTTCGGTGTGAGAAATATGAAAAGATTAGAAGGTCACTCGAAGATGGAACTAATGATGCTACAGATGTTGGTCAGCGGGTTATAATACCGTCTTCATTTACAGGAGGTGAGCAATGGAAACGTGAAAATTACATAGATGCAATAACCATAGTCAAGACTTTTGGTTATCCAGATATTTTTATAACCTTCACTTGCAATAACAAGTGGCCAGAAATAGTTAAATATTGCTCAAAATTAGGATTGCGGTTTGAAGATAGACCAGATATAGTTTCAAGGGTATTCATGATGAAGCTTAATAGATTGATGAAAGAGATCAAAGACAAACATATATTTGGTCGTCAAAAAAGCAGGTATGTACAGGTTTACATCTTACATTAGTTTTTATGCATAATTTATTTTTAACATAATTCCTTAATGATTCAAACATACTAAACCTATTTTATTATACAATGCAGCTCTATACACGGTAGAATATCAGAAGAGAGGTCTCCCTTATGCACACATAGTTGTGTGGCTAAATCGTGATGACAAATTATCAAAACCAAAGGATATAGACAAATTCATTAGTGCTGAACTGCCTAATAAAGATGCTGATCTAGTTCTGTACAATATCGTTACTGAGATGATGATTCATGGACCATGTGGTATGCAACATCCTTATAGTCCTTGCATGGTGAAGAATGAATGCTCAAAGAAATTTCCTAAAAAATGGAAGGAGAAACAACTATAGGTAACGATGGATTCTTTGATTATAGGAGGCGTAATGATGGAAAATCATTTGAGAAAAATGAGGCTACTATAGATAACAGATGGGTGGTAGGTTACAATCGGTTTTTGACACTAAAGTTTCATGCACATATTAATGTTAAATGGTGCAATCAAGTAGGTGCTATTAAATACCTATTCAAATACTTGAACAAGGGTTCAGACAAAATTTCTTTCAAATATACTATCAACGGAGAAGTTATCACTGAAAATTATGATAAAGCTCCAAAGGATGAAGTGAAAGATTGGTATGGAGGAAGGTATTTATTTGGTTGTGAAGCTGCATGGCGTATGTTTGAATTCCCAATACATCACAGGACACATCATGTTGAACGATTAAGCTTCCATATGCCTAGTCAGCAAAGTGTAGTATACGATGAAGACCAGATATTTGAATCTGTTATCAGCAGAGTTTCTAACAGAGAGTCAAAGTTCACCGCATAGATGGAATGTAACAGCATATACCCTGAAGCAAGAAACCTTACGTACATAAATTTTCCATCTAAGTTTGTGCGGAAGAGAAAGGACAAAAAGTAGAAGCCGAGGCAAAGAGGTGATAGCATTGGCAGGATTCATGGAGTTCCCATAGCTACTCGTGAACCTTATTATCTAAGAATGCTTCTTAATATTGTTAAAGGTCCAACATGTTATGAGTAAATAATGACAGTAGATGATATAGAATACACTTCTTTCAAAGAAGCTTGCTTCGCTAGGGGTTTACTGGAAGATGATAAGGAATACATTGATTGCATACTGGAAGCATCAACTTGGGGTTCAGGAAGTTACTGCAGACATCTTTTTACATAGCTTTTGGATGGAGAAATTCTTTCTAAACCAGATAATGTCCTAGACCAGACTTGGGACTGCTACATGGAAGATATACCATTTAAGTTAAAGCGTACGTACATGAATGAAGGTATATTTTCTTCTAGTTTGTTATCTTAAGTTTTCATGGATGTTTAAACATTATATATTCAATTTTAATGAAATGTGATTTGTTTCTGTTTGTTATTAATGTTATTACCCATAAAAAAATGTTACACACAAATTACGTAGTGTCCGAAGATGAGAAGAAAATGCTTGCATTGAAGGAAATTGAGTTTATTCTACGGACTCATGGTAAATTTTTGAAGCAATTTCCTGCTATGCCATATCCAAGAGATATTTTCATTGATGATGGAACCAACACCATGGTTCATGATGAATTAGACTACAATAGATCAGAACTAAGAGAAGAACATGATGTGCTATACGGGAATTTGACTGATGAGCAGAGGGAAATTTACAAACAGATTACATGTGCAACTGAAAGAGGTAAAGGAGGTTTGTTTTTCGTTTATGGTTACAGTGGGACTAGAAAGACATATGTCTATCGAACACTTTCAGCTGCCATTTGGATGGAAGGTGAAATTGTATTAAATGTAGCATCAAGTGGCATTGCTTCATTGTTGTTGGTTGGTGGAAAGACTGTTCATTCAAGATTTCAAATACCAATTGACATTACTGATGAATCAACATGTACCATCAAACCAGGAAGTGATTTGTGTGCTTTGGTTATAAGAGTAAAACTTATTATATGGGATGAGGCACCGATGGTACATAAACATTGATTTCAAGCTCTGGACAGGACACTAAAGGATGTATTATATTACGCCATACAAATCCAGAAGGTGTAGAACAACCATTCGGAGGTAAATTTGTTGTTCTCGGAGGTGATTTCAGGCAGATATTACCTGTGATTCCAAAAGGTACAAGAGTTGACATTGTCAGTTCTGCAATAAACTCTTCCTACTTATGGAGGCATTATGAGGTACTAAGGTTGACTGTTAACATGAGGCTACGTGTTGGTGATACAACATATAGTCCTGATGAAATATGCTAGTTTGCTGACTGGCTGCTAAAGATCGGAGAAGGAAAGGTAAATGAACCAAATGATGGTGAAGCTGAGATTGAATTCCTAGATGATGTCATTATACAGGAACCAGGAGATCCTATCAAAATTATCGTTAAGACTATATATCCAAACTTAGTAAATAACCTCGAAAACCCTGTCTGGTTCCAGGAAAGAGCTATTTTAGGACCAACATATGAAGTTATTGATAAGGTCAATGATTACATGACAAGCCTATTACCTGGCGAAGAACGTGAATACCTCAGTTCAGACATTATGTGTAATTCTGAGCATGGAGGTGAATCAGATCAGGGTATATACACTCTTGAATTTCTCAACAGTGTAAAGGCTTCAGTTCTTCCCAATCACAGATTGGTACTGAAACATAATGTTCCAATCATTCTACTCCGTAACACTGATCAAAGGTTAGAACTGTGCAATGAGACTAGACTACAGGTTACACGTATGGGACATTACGTGATAGAGGGGAGAATTATATCAGGAAGCAATATTGGTCATGTTGTGCCTATTCCCAAGATAAAAATAATTCCATCTGACAGGAGCATTCTTTCCATTATTCATGGCGGTGTATTCTCCGCGTACCTCATTGAAGCTTCGATTATCCTAAAAGCCCCCATTTTCTCGCTCAATCCGAGCTTGATTGAATCTTTCATTTGTTCATCGTGAAGTTCCTTCGTACTGATTCTCTTCCATCCGTACGATTTACGGTGTAGAAATCAGAGGTTATTCAAGTTTTCCTACCTACAACGATTTTCAGATGTAGGATTAACCTGCTTTGATACCATCTAGAGTAATCAGATTAGTCATTTCTAGGATTCTAAGTAGGAAAAAAGTAAAACGATTTGGGAATGTTTTTTTTTATATTCAATCAAGGTGATGATCTAATTATGTGCAGTCTGTATACGTGATCTTCAAGTATATCTACAGAAGAAAATACAGGATGAAAAGACACTTATACCCTAATTAACTAACCACCTCAAACAGCAACATTTATTACTAACCGACTTAGGGTAATTACTGCTATTTACAGCTTAAACTCTAACTAATGACACTGTAATTCAACCTGGATCACATCTCTGATCATCTTCAGTATTCTCTACAGACACGCTGCATGATCCACATAAATAAATATGCAGAAAGTTTCCTTTCTCAATCCTAGATACTCGATTTGTTTATAATGTTTTAAGAATCTCTTAAAGTGTTACCATCCAACTTATACAACAAATTTTCTTATAATGTGAATAATTTGACATTATCAAAAAATTTATTCAAAACAAATTAAGAAGGAAACGTAAAAATTTCCAAATCGAGTTTTCATTTCCTTGTGTTTATGCCTATACTTTCTGCCTTTTTCTTTCTTTCCTTTTTTTTTCCCCATATAGGGTGTTAATAGTCGCCAACATCGATTGAAGTAACTCTCTGGATAAATGACAACCATTGTTTTAGTGAAGAACTAAATGTAGCCCACTTAATCCTTATACGCGCCCACTTTATGACCATTTTACCCTTTTCTATTATTATTAATAAAATTATCATGATTTTAACATTTCATAAGACTACTATTACACAAATGCCAACATGAATTAGAATCTTCAAACAAAAACAAATTAAATTGATTAAAAAAAATTAATTTTACCTAAATAAATGAATATTTAACTTGACCTAAATTAACTTTACATTAACCAAAAAAATTATTCAATTAATTAATATAATAAAATTAACCAAAAACAAATATTACACTAAACATCAAGTATTAAAAACTAAATATAATTAACCCATAAATAAAATAAGTAATTTCCATAACATCTAATTTTTTTTTAAAAAAGTGAAGATAAAATAAATAATTACATGAACTTTGGAAAAAAATACATATAAAAAAAAGAGTAAAGGCCACGCCCTCACTAGACGAACGGCCAGCGGCGCCGCGCTTACCGGCTGTGGCAGCCCGACGATTACCGGCGCAGAGAGGGCGCTCGGCCAATCGGTTGCCGGCATTAACGAAGCGAGCGACCGGTTGGCCGCACGCCTCGTCTACGCGAGTCACCATCGGACTGTCCACGATTAGTAGGCGCGTCGCCGCCGGCCGTTTGCCCAATGAGGGCGCTGCCTTTACTCCTTTTTTAATATTTAATTTTTTCCCAAATTTGATGAATATATATATACACACACTAAAGACAAAAAAAAAATACATACATGTGGTGGCAAGCTTTTTCCTCCTTTTGTGGGGTAATATGCCATGATTTCTTCAAAGAAAATACTTAAAGAGTTGAATATTAATAAAGATTAGAACGTTGTAAATTTTGAAATAATAAAAAAAATTAATTTTTATAATTGTTCAAATAAGGACAAAATTGTAAAAATTTGGACTTCACTATCATTAAGTGGGCTACGGTTAGCATTACCCTTGTTTTATGTTGGGTAGCTCTATACCACTCGTAATAGGCCCAGTTAGTGTATCAGATCTCTTCAGGATACAAGACCTAGCTGGAAGGCCCAAAGTGAAACCTTTGTCTTCCTCGTAAAATCAGTGAAACTGAAGAGTCAAAGATTGACATAGAAACGAAAATGGCGTCTTCTTGTTCTTCATCATCATCATCACTGGCAGCTCTGAAATCAAACAAATTCCTAATTCCATCTCATTTTCGATCTCAACCCCAATTTCAATATGGTTACCGCATGTCCTCTCTTCCCATTCCGTTTAAAGGACCCACAACAACTCCATCTTCATCATCAGTGGTGCTCAGAATAAGAAGGAAAGGAAGAAATGCATGCCTTATTTCCAGAGTTAAAGCCCAGAGTTCCACTTCCACCACAGGTGATTTTCCTTTTCCAGTACCAATTTATTTGTAATTTTCAATTTGGGTTTTTGTTTTTAATTTTCGTTCTTTCTTAATTTGTGGTGGTGATATGGTCCAGATTTTGTGCCGGAGGCTAATTTTTACAAAGTTGAAGCTATTCTGAGGTGCTTACTGAATTTTCCCTCTTTCAATCTCTTTTTTTGGGCATTATATGGTTTAGGCTGGAAGCTAATCTTCTTCTTGATTTTTTTCCCCCTTCAATTTTGATTCTTATTGCGACAATGGTGACATTTGGAAGACCTTGGAGAGTTCCGCAGGTTTCTTCGGTAAGGCTAATCATAAAATTTATCTCACTAATCTGGAAAACTTTGTAATGCCTTTACTGCATTGTGATCTCCTTGTTGTTGAATACATTTGTAATTCCATTCTGAATTTGAAGGGATTTTTAACTTTCTGTTGTTCATGTTACTATTAATTGGAAAAATTGAGGGCTTCACAAGCATTGGAACTGGTTTAACCAACATTTCTCGAGAGGATGTGTCTTGACATCCTTTTTATTTACTAGTAAAGGGCAAATAAATATCTCCTCTTACATGTGATAACATCTTCTGGAATGTAATTGGTGTCTTAGTTTTTGATTTGTTGTTGTTTGCTCCTTAAATGAACAAGGCATTATTGAGGATGGGCATTCGAGGGGTGACAATTTCTGATGTTCGTGGCTTTGGTGCTCAAGGAGGCTTGACTGAAAGACAAGCTGGTAGGGTGACCTTCCTTATATTATGTGATCTTCTGTCAAGTGTATTCACAGTTAGTAAATGTTATCAATACTATTTTCTTTTTATTTATATCCCTCGTTCACTGAGAACACATTCCTCGTAACAACAGGATCCGAGTTTGCTGAAGATAATTTTGTGGCAAAAGTCAAGATGGAGATTGTTGTTAGCAAGGACCAGGTATCTGAATATAGAAAATGTATGCCGATGATAGAGATGTTGACTGTTGATTGTAAATGATGTAACAAAGTACAAGTGCAAAGAAATGAATCATATTCTTTGTAAACTGTAACTTCATGATTCAGTACCGGTATCGTGTTTACTTTTGTCAGTCATAGAAAATTCAGAGCTTAGAATCTTTTCGGTTGAATATCATACATTTGTAGAAAAATGCTTCTTCATTAAAAGGCTTTCCTTGGGGAGCTGACTGTCTTTCCCACTCACCTGCTGTATGTATCATTTTTGTTAGGTTGATGCCGTCATAGAAAAAATCATTGAAGAAGCAAGGACTGGTGAAATTGGCGACGGGAAAATCTTTGGTGAGAGATATCCCTCCTTTTATTAACTCATTAAACCTTGAAAAATACTTGACAATTATGACGATGCACAAATTTATTTGTTTCGACAAAGATTATGTGCTACTTAGCTGTAGAGGGGATAGCATTACCTTCAAAGTAGCTTTGTTGTTACAATTTATCTTCTTGCACATCTTTGTGCCCTTGCTAATAAGTATAATGCAATATTTCCCAGGAAGCTAGCTGGCTTAGAATTGCTTTGAGATTCACATAACTGTAAAAGAAAAAAAAATCTTCATGATGATCAGCTTGCTTCAACTCTTATGCATAGTTGAGGGTATAATGTTTGTGAGCTGTAATTTCGGATTGGACCCAAACCCCTCCCTTAAGTCATGGTCAAAGGCCTAAAGCGGGGCGTTGATGACAGGAGAATTGCAGCTATTATGATGGACATTGTTTATTTCATGAATTACAATATGGAGAGTTGACATTAGAATGATGAAATGGGAGTGTCAACGGCTGTGGTTTATATAAAAACACATATGCATGTTAATTGCTTTGCCCAGATCATGATGTTGTTTATATTTACTCATTCATTTGATTAACTCTTTTCTGTGACCTCTGGTTTAGATTTCTCTTACTGCTTCCATGCGATGTTGACATTAAGTAACTATTTAAAAACGTATGACAAGCTAATTATTTATGCACATGGATGATGCATTGCAGTTATTCCTGTTGCTGATGTTATTCGAGTTCGAACAGGCAAGTGTAACTTACCGTTACTACTGATATATTTGCTGTAGTACTATATCGGAATCCCTGATCATATATCATGTTCTCATCTCGACAGGCGAGCGAGGAGAGAAAGCTGAGAGAATGAAGGGAGGGCGGGCTGATATGATCTCTGCTGCATCGCCACTGGCTTAAGAACGTGTACCTCTGATTCTGCGCAAATGGGTATTGCAACGAGTAAGAAACTTAGATAATGAAAAGGTTACTAATGCTGTTTCACTGAGCAGAGTGGAATTTTAGTTTTTCCCTGTTTTGTTTTTACTATTATTCTGCTATTGTTGTTTGTACTACTTCTTGTTTAGATCTTTGCTACATTTTGGATTTAGGGCCAGAAGTTCAATATGATATTTGTGTGGGTGTTCTGAGAGTTGCAAACTGAGACACACAGAATTTCAGCTGTCAATCTAACCTTAATTTTAAATTCCATCATCAATTACCTCCATTCAATGACCTGCTTCCGGGAACTTCTTAGATTTCTAATTCGGACTTATTTTGCCATGATTCAGTGATGCACCATGCAGAAATTGACACATGAGATCTCCTAGTATGGTATTGTTTATAAACAAAAATGATATGTTGGTTCACTTATTAAACGCAATTTTTATGTTTGAGATGAATGATTGAATGTCCAATACCATTGTGAAAGAGCTCTATTACGATGCTTTGCTTTTAAATTTCCGCTATTAATTGGCTTAGCTATTGCTGTTGTTAGTAATAATGGTAAAAAACATTCTTTCGAATACCTTTGCCGACGGTTTCTATGAAGGTATTAGGTCATAAAATGCTGTTGAATGAGTTTTCCCTAACCTAGTATACATATAGTTGAACATATTTTAGAAACTTCAATCCTATTGAAAGGATGTTGTACATGTGAATTGTATGAAGATGGTAGAGTTCTTTCATCAAATACCCCAGGTTAATTAGCTTATATATAGAGGTTTCGAATTTTCAAGTCTGATACGCAACACACATCCGAATTCATAACAAACACATGTTCCAGTTCTGATCTTTAAACATTGATTCCATCGCAAGGAAGTTACTCGATGGGATTGCTTGTTTCCGAATTCGCTGTCTCTATTTTGCTATTCCAAATCTCTCCTACAATAGCAGAAAGGAACTCTGAGGCAAAAGGTTCCTGGTGTTCCTGTGACCAAAGACTCATTCGGCGTCTGTATCTGGCGAAGAACCCCTTCTGTTCCTGTAGAATTAACCATAGACCTTGATCTGGCCAATTCACATGGGTAGATTGTGACTAAGGCTGTGCTAGTTTAGCTGCCTATTCGCAGCTCAGCTTGGTGTTCAGTTTCCGATTCAGTGAGCTGTTTCGCAGCTCAGTCCGGTGTTTAGTTTCCATTTCGTTTACGTGTTTTGATGGATCAAATCCTATGTCAGTGTCAAGAGTTTCATTCAGTTGTGGACATCACTGGTTGGAGGATGTAGCTCAAGTAGTGAAGGGCGAGTTGGAAGAAGAACAATTTGGACTTCCATGGCTAATGTTAGCTAGAGTAGCACAAAAAGTGGTTCTACCTGCCTTGGAATCTTGGTGCTTTCAACGTTTAAAGATTTTGGGTTTGTCAGCAAGGTTTGCTCAGTCGGGTAGCCTCCATTGTGATTTGAAGGATGTTACATTGAAACGTTACAAAAAAGACGTTACGAGGGGAAAAAAAAAAAATAAAAAATATAACACTTTCAAAGAATTTTGCTTACTGCTGATAAATACAGCTTATGTTCAAAGTAAGAAAGTAAAAAATTTTGATTTGGTAGAAGAAGTCTGTAAGATAAAAAGTATTACACTGTTATAGTTTCAGTTATGTCAACAAGATTCCAAAATTATGTCATGATTTGATTATTAGAAACAAGAATATTCTTTCAAAAAAAAAAAAAAAAAGAAAGAAGAACATACTTCCTCTATTTTGAAATATATGTCGTTTTAGTGTTTGGTGAATTTTTTTTAAATATATGTCGTTTTCACAAATAGAGGCACATTTGACCACTTTTTATCAATGTTACCCCTGCATTGGGAATGAAACAATATTTATAATGAATTTCTATTGATTTGTGATGAATTGTATAGAAAATAAATAAAGATATTTTTGTATTTTAACTACATTATTTAATGTTTTCTTGGTTATGATGAATTCTCTATAAAGACATATTAAAAAAAATGGAAGGAGTACTTATTTAAAACAAATTACTCAAATAAAGACTCCCTTAAAACGTTTAATGGTAGTTTGACAAAGTAAATTATTTGAAGTTTTGGAAAAATTGGTTCATTCTCTCTGTATGGTGTTTGTGAACTACAATTATGCAGCCTGTCATAAATTGTTTACATATTTGAGCTGAGAATGATCATGTTTCACTGGGTTCTTGTTTTCCTGTCATTATGCAGCCTGCAAGGAGCTGCCGATTCATCATCTTCTGATCAAAAAGAAGCAGCAGCTCTTCTCAGATGGAAATCGACTTTACATTATCCGAATAGCCTTGGGTTAACTTCATGGCATCTTCACCGATCGATTACAAATGATTCAATGTCCAGCAGAAGCCCTTGCAAATGGTATGGCGTTTCATGCATCAATGGAAGTGTCAACAGGCTGAACTTCCCATTTCTATCACTCCCTAATCTTGAGTATCTTGAAATTTCCATAAATGAACTTTCCGGCAGCATCCCTCCACAGATAGGTAACCTTTCCAAACTTATTTATCTTGATCTGCAAGCCAATCATTTGTTCAATAAAATCCCACCTGAAATTGGCCTATTAAAGAATCTCCAGACACTTCACCTTAATAGTAATCAGTTGAACGGCTCAATCCCCGAGGTGATAGGACAGTTAACCTAGATTTGGGTTCAAACCTACTCTCAGGTCAGATTTCTCCAGAATTAGGGAATCTTCACAATCTTGTTGGAATCTTCATGGGGAACAACACTTTCACGGGTCCAATCCCACCCTCTTTGGGGAACTTAACCACATTGAAATACTTGGCCCTTTTCAACAATATGCTCTCTGGTCATATTCCTCCAGAGTTAGGGAGACTAACAGCACTTCAGGTGCTGAGTATATATGGCAATGAGCTAAATGGTCCAATCCCAAACTCATTAGGTAAACTCACCAATCTGCAGTTGTTGGAGCTCATTGATAATTAATTAAGTGGATCTATCCCCCAAGAGTTTGGCAATCTGAAGTTCATTTATGTTCTGCGTTTAAATGGCAATCAGTTAAGTGGTTCTATCCCCAATGCACTAAAGAATTGCTCCAGTTTGAAGAGAATCGCTTTCAGAGGGAACCATTTGACCGGATACCTGCCAACGGTGATAGAAATATTGGCATCATCATAAACCGCCGACTTCCAATTCAATCTCGATCCCAAACAATGAAGACGTTCTTTCTGACAGAACGTACACTTATGTAACAATAGCATAATACAGTTCAAGTATTCGAGTGCAAAAGGTAGAAATGCTCATAAATGATGACTGGTTGCGAATCACAGGAGTTTTATTTTGTTCGAAATCCTAACGTATAGTTATGGTCAACATTCATTTTGGTAGATGCTTCCTCCGTCCCAAAATTATTGTGCAATTTGGATTTTCATTTTCAGTACAAAGTGAACTAAAAATGAAAGTTCAAACTAGAAAATAATTTTGGGACGGATGGAATATATTTTTGACAAGTTAGTTGCTCTTATACTAGCCAATGGGTTGAATGCAGTATAAATGTATTTAATCATACATTAACTCAGTTTGTTAAAAGAGAGCGAGATTGTAAGTGATACAATAGAAAGGATTTTGTATATATCTGCAAGGAAAGAAGTGTTACATATGTGTAATTGATAGGTTAATACTGATAGATATAAAATTAAATCACCAAATCAGTTAATGACTGATTCTGTATTTCTCTATATATACCTTTGTAATCAAAATACAGTATATATTGTAATATATCCAATATTTCAGTAAGAAATGTATGTGGATTCAATTACAATATCTGTTGATCATTCTGTATTGGATGGTCTTCGAGCAAATTTAATTTAATGCTCAAACCCGCTTTGTAAATGTGAGGGCTGATTATGCTGTTGTGTTCCAATCCTTGGAGACGATATATTATTTCTGGGTTCGATCAAATTCTTTGCTGGTAAAGCTCGGTTCTGATTTTGATTCAAGACTGGACCGTAAATTGGCTGTTCGAAATCCATAGAGATATGATCTACAAGTGAAATGTTTATATTCTCACCTTCTGCAGTGATTCCTGTTGAATTAACCATAGACCTTGGTCAGGCCAATTCGGTTGGGTAGATTGTAAGGCTGTGCGTGTTGTTCGTTTTATAAGCTGCCGATTCGTAGCTCAGCCCGGTGTTCAGTTTCCCTGTGGCCTGATCCGCACGGACCGGTGCTTAGTTTCCATTAAAAAAACCCATGGAGATTCACCTCAAAACCAATTGGCAATGAGAGGAGTAGCCTATGAAGCTTATATATTGATACTCAGAACCTCCCTCTATATATTGATACTCAAAGTTTCCCAATACTGACGTGGGATTCAGACTCTTTAATACTCTCCCGCAAGCCCAACATATTTTTTGGGTTGGGTTTGTCTTATTTTTTTCAGTCCAGGTACCTCACGTCTCAGTCCTATTTTTTTTTTGGGTTTTTTGGAGTCCGAATGTTGGCGAGCTGACTCTGATACCATACAGAAGAGAGATTCACCTCAAAACCAATTGACAATGAGAAGAGTAGCCCATAAAATTTATATGTTGATACTCAGAGTCTCACAATACGAGATTGGGTTCCTGGCGTTTTTCGATGGATCACATTCTTTGTCATTGACAGAGCAATAGTGTATCGTTCAATTATGTTCCCTAGCGTTTTTCGATACAAGCATACTCACGGCCATCTAATCTAATGTATACTTATGTTCAACGTTCATTTTGGTAGATATCAAAATTGGTTTCGGCAAGTTAATTAGTACCTCTTACTTACTACTGGTCAGTCAATGTGTTGATCATAGTATAAATATATTTGAATTAACTCTTAGTTTGTTAAAAAGAGAAGGAGAGTTTAGGAAATTCCGGAGTTCAATTCCAATATTTTTTTTGATCATTTGCATTGGATTGGTTTTCGAGCAAATTACATTTATTTTTTTTTTATAAAAAAAGTAAATAATAATGTTTCTTTATTAAACAAGGGTTAATTTCATTTTTAAGAAAGAATTCAAACTCTGGATATTTAAAATATTACCTTCGTCTCACAAAAATTGTCTAAATTAAGTTTTCAAATTTGCATTAAAAACACTACAAAACTCAAAACTCAATAATCAATTTAAGTTTTTGTCCAAAAAAAGAAAAAAAAAAAGAAAAGTTGACCAAAAGAAATTTCAACTTAGCGTGCTCTATTACTATCACCGATAAAGTCCTCTTAATTTGCAATTTCCTTGGTCAGAAAACACGGAAATTGAAAGTCAACATACCTCCAGCGCCCGCTCCGCCTCGGCCCGCCACCGTAAAACTTAATCCAGCTGGTTGCAGAGCCCAGCTGAGGAAGCCGTAATCACCACTTTGAACCAACCTTTTCCGGGGGATCACCGCCGGCGTTGTTTCATCTGCCCGATTTGCTCAGCCACCGCGATTCCCAGATGGCTCCTCCTTCTTCCATTTCATCCTCCAGTACACTCATCATTCAACCGACTGGGTTTGATTAAACTTTTGCTTGAAAATTAATTGAAGATTCAAAATCTGTATTTGAATTGCTTCCACAAATAATTCCCTTGGTTGTGATCTATTTGTCAAATGTCTACATCCGGGGATGGTGATTGTTCTGTTTTCTCTGAAGAATTGATTTGGGAAATCTTGAAATGGATTCCTGTTAAGCCTTTGATGAGATTGAAACGTGTCTGCAAGCTTTGGTTGTCCATTATTCTGAACCCATCATTTGCCAGGACTTATCAGGGCGGTTTCAAAGGTCTACTCCTTACTGGCCATGAAAGCAGGGAATACACAAACCGTGATTTCTATTATTTGATGTTGATGGATGGCGATAATGATGGCGGTCTATCAGCTTTCATCTCCAATCACCACACCATGGATCTACCTTTAGTCCGAGGTACGCGATCCACTGGTCCTGTTAATGGCCTTGTATGTCTGTATCATGGCGAGTTTTCGTGTTTATACAACATTGCCACAAGAGAAAGCTTGGTTCTCCCTGTTCCAATGTTGAGATTTAATTCGTGCGAGTACTATCTTGGTTTTGATCCCTCTAACAAATTGTACAAGGTGCTGAAGACGAGCCCTATCTACCGGCGTGGTTTGGGACTTTCTTTCTTACACAATCTGGACAGTGAGATTCTAACTATAGGTGTTGATTGGTCGTGGAGACGCATTGACCCTGCACCTTGGGAGTTAAGATCCTTGGGTTACTGCAAAGACGGTGTTCTGTATTGGGACGAAGAAGGAACTCGCACGATGAAAACAGGACGCCATCTTCTTAGCTTTGATCTCGCTCGAGAGAAATTTGAATTGGTTGATAAACCTGAGGAAAAGGTGTATTGTGCATTGTTGTCTGGGCCAAAGATAGCTCTTGTATCATATTATAGGCCACCTATACACACAAAGTTGATCACTTTGCTCTGCTACAATGATGATCATCTTGTTGGCAATGGCAAACAGGCCTCATTGTCAATGGGGAATTGGACAAAACATGAATTTGACGCATCAACATCTGAAGAGCTTTCTAGTTTCCGTGCTGTAAGTACACTCCCCAATGGAAACGTGATTTTGATACATAAATTTGCCTGGCGATGGAATTCTTTGGTGCCCGTTCCCTTCTACATATATCATCAGACCAAGATGGAGCTAAAAAAGTGCTTCATATCGCAGTGTCCTTCACCCTCTATTGTACAACGCCACATTGATGACCGTCATCGGTTTTTCAATGCTTCATATTACGAGGAAAATATCACCCGATTGCGCTCCTTAGGCTCCAGGTATCGTTTCCTAGAAACATAATTTCACACTGATCTCTGTTTGATATGCTTTCTCCATTCCCAATGATTTTCATTACCTTTTGCTTGTATGACATTGAGTACTAACGGGAATTTGGGATCATCATGAGCACTGACATTGGGATGTCAATTTTTCATTTCTAGTATTTACAATCTCTTAAAGTTTACCCAAAAAAGATATAAGAAGTGGTGAAGAGTGCTCTTGGCACTATTTTTAAGACATACTTACAGTTAAATGAGACACTGGACAAGTTGCAGAATATTGCCTTCCTAAGGTGTGTCATAAGTATGCATCTGCTGAATCACGCTTCAATCACGAATGTGAAATAGCATCCTTGCTGACATATGAATTACTAACACATGCACATTACATTGTAATGTTCATTATTACAGGGTGTAACTGAGGAGACTAGGACGCATTCAATTCTTTCAATGAAGTATGATGGCTCGGGAAGGCTTAGGAAAGCAGCGACAATATCAGTATATCATCTCCAATGAATTCCTGGACTTCTCTCGCTGAAAGCCTATCAGTAGGTGTCACTTGTTGGCATAACGATGCAATGACTACAATCTTTCTCTTTGCTACCTCTTCGTCTTCATAGATTACTTTGGGGAAGTTGGTGGGCTACATAGAATTTGATATTCCGGCTTTCAGTTTTCTGAAGAAGTGGAGTTACATTTGGACTTTCAAACTTCTAGCAGATGTTGTATATATTATATTGTTTCTTACCGTCATTTTCACTCTAGTTTCTATCCATTCCTGCAGTTGAAGTCCAAGTCTTTTTCAAATACTTCCATCTATGCAGCTTACATGGATAAACCATTTGTTTTAATACTCAGAGCCTTGCAAGTCAAAATTTACATTCTGACCTAGAACTTTTCTGCAGTGACTGCAGCGATTCCAGTTGCTGAAGTCATTCGAATTTGCTCAGTCACAACGCACATTTTCATACTAATATATTTAGCTGATAATACTACATTGTGATCCCTGATAGGTGAGCATGGAGAAAAAGCCGAGAGGAGTGCAGGCAGGGCGGGCTGTCTTAAAAGCGTACAGGTGATTCTGCTGCCAAATGGCATTTGTGGTGTCAGCAAAGATTATACTCCCTCTGAGCTCAAAAGTGACATATTAGTTGTTTCTTTTGGATTTCCTAATGAGGTTTAAACTAGCTTTTGTTTAGAGTTTTGTAACATTGAATATTTAGGACCAGCAGTTCTCATATATGGTTATGGTCTGAATCTTTTTAATTCCAGATTTATCTAGACTTTATCCGGCATCAAGTGTTCTGATTTCCAGCTTAAGAACTAACCCCGCTTTAAAGTTAGTAACGCTGTGGAATAACTTGCTCCTACATACGCCATCTCTGTCCAGCTCCTTCTGATCTCTCTGCTAATAGCACAAAACAACTCTTCCAGGCAAAAGGCTCCTATCAGTTCAGTGAAAAGACTCATTCAGAGGCCGATTATGTGGAAGAACCCTATCTGTTTCCGTAAAACTGACAAAAGGAACCCGGGCGGCCTATTCTTGTGGTTAGATTCTGATTAGGGCTTTGTTAGTTGTTCATCAGCTCTGTCCGGTGTTCAGCTATAATTGCAGTAGAGATTGTTTCCCAAATAATGGTCCTAAAATTGGCGGTAGCAAGTAGCAACAATCAATACATGTTTCCTCTTTCCGTACAACACTTAAAAGGTAAAGTTAGTTTGCGTGGGGATCAACTTCATCTTCACATCAAATGCTTGAAAAGAGGCTTGTTAATTACTAATTAGCCACATTTTGCAGATGAGAATCTGCCGTTGAAATTGCGTCTTCAGTACAGGCAAAATGCGAATCATGTGTTAAAGAATTCATAGTTTCATTCTTATATATGTTACAATTGGATAGCTAGCTGCGATGTCTCAAATCTGCACATATAGCAATATACATACTCCTTCCGTAATAAGAAATCAATTAGTAGAGATATACTGAATTAACCTTCAATAATTTTCAATGCTCCCAGGTTATCACATCTTGGAATCAAAGACCAGTAAACCTAAATGACTAATGGTCTTTCAACAACCGAAGAAGTGAATGAAGCTATAAGTATTCATAAAAAAAGTACTGATAGTCCAAGGTAAAGTTACTCAGTAACCATATCCTGAACAACTCAACCGGATGATACTCTCCTCATAGTAATAGAAACTTAAAATTCAGATTGAACCTGATAATGTGTTGTTTCACAACAGAGGTGGAGGGACAAGAATCCGGTATGAAGAACTTCTTGAGCTCCCTTTTGGTTCGATCATATATATATGAGAAAGGCCAATAGTTAAAATCTCACTATATACCGTTATGTACAAATTTATAGTTCCCGTCTATTCGTTTGTAAACCGGGCAGGTCTTTAGTACCTTGTATATATACTTTGTTAAACTGATTGAATCCCAGATAATAAATACGGGTCACAGAATCACATATTGAAACAGGAAGAACCAATTTTTCTCTGGTGGTAATATCATAGAGACATTTCCAGTGACCATGGAAAAAACACAAAAAGACCATTGACAGGCGCGCTGGAGACCACCGTTCTTCCCAGGTTTACTGTGTGAAAAGCCCCGATGCCGGCTGAGACGCCATCATCATTATCACCATCAAATAAGTTCATATAAAAGAAATCCCAATTCGAAGAATCTTTACTGGAGATGTGTGAAGCAGTGAGGAGGAGACCATCGAAACCGCCCTGATTTACGATCTAGTGAATAACGGACTCTGAATAATCGATAGCCAAGCTTGCAAACATATATAAATCTCGTCAGGTATTTGACAGGGATCCATTTTAATACATCCCAAATTAAATCCTCATAAATTACTGGAGAAAATCTTGATTCCGACATTAGGTGAACAGATAAAAAGTGTGGTTTGAGTTCGATGTTTTCATGAACATGATCATCATCAACCTATATACATTCATGAGCCGCACATGTTTAAGGTAATAATATTTGGATCTGGAAAATATAATCGAAAACGAGTTTGCAATGTACAAGCAATGAATAGTGATGTTGGTTGTACTGTACTTCTTAGCCACAAAGGTAGCAATGAAATTGATCTTTAAGGTGTTCACTTGAAATTGTCTTCACGGGCTTTTACACACTTATTGTTCAAAAAAAAAGTCAAAAAGTCATGATATTCTTCTAATTTAAAGGTAATGAAATTCATAGAGGTGCATAAAAGATGATGAAGACAATTCCAAAGTAAAGTTACTTCGGCGCAATATGGCTAGAACCTAAACAACTCAAGGGGGTGATATTCTCCTCATAATACATGGCTTCGAGATACAAGTCGAGAATGTGTTGGCTTGCAATGGAGGATGATGAAGGACAGTCTGACATCAAACACTTCTTGAACTCCCTATTGTTTCGATCATACGTATAAAATGGCATTGGAAACTTCCAACCCGATGTTGATCGCTCAATGAAGACTATCTTTCCATTGGGGAGTGTACTCATAGGTCGGTATAATCTGCCTAAGGGGTAATTCAAAATTTCATGCTTTGTCCAGGCATCATTATTGTAGTCGCACAAATTTCTAACCTTTCTACTTCTGTATCCATATTCATCTAGAGGCCAAGAACATGACATCAGATTCGGGTTTGATCCAGGAAACCACCCATACTTTGCATAACTTTTATGAGGCTTTTCAATGAACTGAAACTTCTCTTGAACAAGATTAAAACAAAGGAGATGTTCTCTAGTTTCTCCCTCGTTCTCATAGCAGCACCAATAAAGACATCCATTGGCGTAACATACAGTGGAATCTGAATACCACGGCGCAGGATCAATACTACGCCATGATAAATCGACACCTACAGTTAAAATCTCGATTTTCAGAGATCGACACACCTTGAATACCTTATACACATTGTGGAAAGGATCAAACCCTAGAAGGTAGTCGCATCTAGCACAATTAGACGTCGAATCAGGAAGAGACATGGTTTCTCTAGTGGCAATATTGTAGATACACGAACGATTGCCGTCATAGAAACATATTAGGCCATTCACAGGCTGGGTGGAGTCCATTCTCTTGTCTGGACTAAAGCAGTGAAAACCCGAGATGTGGGCTGAGGCGATGACTTCATTATCACCATCCAGTAAGTTCTAATAAAAGAAATCGCGATTTTCACCTCTGATGCCAATAAAGTTAGTGAGGAGAAGACCTTTGAAACCGCCTTGATAAGATGTGGTGAACAATGGATTTTGAATACTCGCTAGCCAAGCCTTACTTACACACTTAAATCGCATCAAGGATTTGACGGTTACCCATCTTAAAATTTCCAACATCAAATCTTCCGGGATGTCTGAAGACACATGAACCCTAGATTTCGATTTCGGCATTTGATAAAGAAACAGATCAAACAAAACTCGAGCCTCTCCTTCCTGCGCAATAATGTTCAAGCATAATTAAATCTCAGCGCAAGGTTCATGTATCAAGCGAAATTTAAACACAGCAGCATAAAATTAAATATATATTTCAATGCGGTGGTGGAGTAAAATTCAACGGCATAAATTGATTCATGTGTTTTGTTACTTATTGATTCATGGGTGTTTTGTAAAAAGAAAGAAAAAGAAGGAATAGATGAAATAATTTAGGGTTAGAAGATTCAGGAATCCCCAAAAAGATTGCTAGCTGATCAACAAAACTTTGTACATCATCATAGTGAACGTACCTTACATATAGCAAATTGAAACAAAAGTTCTTCTTCGTTTTAGGGTCTCGGAAGATCGAAGAATGACGACTGTCTCATATGTATTTATATAATCTAGAAAAAAGAAAATAAAGAACTATAAGAGAAGTATTTCAAGCCATAATAATTTTTCCGGAAAGCTGATGTTGTATATCCGGTATAATTGGGTAAATCTTTTCTAATCCACTGTCGGGAGTACATCCGTAATAATTATTAGATCCGTATGATGTTATCGATTTTTCCCTTTTAGGGAGGATTGTGATCTAAAATTTTTTTAAGTTCTGCATTTTTCACCGTTTATAAATGAAGGATTTATTAGTTTCTGTCTGTCTGTTTTTTTTTTTTTGAAATAAAAATAACTTCTATTAACTTTACTAAAAGTCATCTAAAGTCCCTCAAAAGTTGACTGGTTTGGACAACGAAACCTCCAACTAGATCGACATATTTAGTTTCAATCTTTAAGTTTAAGAAAACAAAAGAAAGTGCACCGTACAGTGAAGTACGTAATTTTGAAAAAAAATAGATTGGGTCGATCGATTAATTCGATTGTAAGAGAATCACCTTTAGTTCAAGTACTTCACAATTCACGTGTCCATTTGTAACTCTTGAATTTGATTAATTCGACATACATTAATAAACTTATTGGAAGTCGATATCAATTGATGTTACTTTGCAAACAAGAGCCAAGGACTGTTGATAATTAATTTGTAACATAATATGTGTATATGACATTAATGCCCGAAATCAATCAGAAGATATACTCAAACGGGTCTCAATTCAGACTATAATTTCCGCTGCTACCATCGTCGAATCAAAGGTAGTGATAATAGCTAGAGTGTACGTAAAGACTGGTGAATACAAAAGGTTGATGATATTCCAAAGAGATGTTACTCAGTAGCTCGAACCTAAACAAATCAACGCGACCAGCCCTTTAGGAGTGTGTTTTTGGATCCGTAGTCGTGAAATTATAATTATCAACCAACCACGTTCTGTACATGGTACCCACTCAAACTACGCACCATTAATACACAGAGACCAAATCATAACTTAAATCTGTGCTTTTCATAGTTATATATCGCTGGCACTGTGCCAACTGCAAATTCAAACACTCACAAATAATAGAAAGAATCAAAAGTTAACTTTTTATACCATGATCAACTTGGTTGCCTAGTTAGTACAGGTTTGACATTCGAAAGGAAATTATTTTTTGTGTCATCACTGACGCTGAAAGCCAAGATAATTTTTTCTTTAATCTTTGAGGATTGAGTTCTTTAATTGACGGAATAATTGTGAATCTGTCATTTGGTTTCTTTATTGTATCCTCAACGATATACATTCTGTACATCTTGCCCATTCAAATGCCCAAAATAATAATACAAAGACTCATCACCAACATAATAATACTCCATAGCTTTCATATCAACTACACATCATCCGGCGCCCTAATCCATCGACACATTACAAAAAACCCAAACTTTAGTTCACGTATTCTTCCATCCAAAGCATAACCAAAATAGAGTGTTTTGGAGTCCAAAGCTGAAATGAACCCGAAAACCACCAATTTCCGAGCGTTTTTGTTGCTCTTTTTGCTCATCTTTTTCTCTTTAGCTAGTGCATGCGACGAGAATTGCCAAAAATCAAAATTGAAGCATAAAGATAAAGACAATTATAAGCACTACCGGAAATCTCCACCGCCACCACCTCCAAAGCATAAATCTCCACCACCACCGCCACCGCCTCCGAAGCACAAATCACCCCCACCACCGCCACCTCCTAAACCTAAATCTCCACCACCAACCCCTACCCCAAAATGTCACCAGCCACCTCCTCCTCCACCACCTAAACCCGAATGTCCACCACCACCACCCCAGTCGCCTCCCCTACCACCACCTCGTCCACCGCCTTCACCCCCTCCGTCACCCTCGCCATCCCCGCCACCACCTTCGCCTCCTCCTCCACCTTCGCCACCCCCACCGCCACCACCTTCCCCACCTCCACCGTCACCACCACCACCTTCGCCACCACCGCCACCTTTCCCTCGACCCCCGCCAGTTGTAGGCACGGCCTCAGGATGCCCGATGGCTAATCTCCTTGATTTTGTACCATGTGCTCCTTTGTTTGGTGTCGGAACCAACAATACTGCTGATGTTCAATCTGAATGTTGCCCGCTATTCGATTTCGATTTTGAGTTTCAATTTTTAGATTGCCTTTGCGGTGCCATCGGTGCCGGGGATTTTGGGAATATTCCACTTCCCACGTCTTCAAACATGTTTGACTTCGGCGCGCTCCTTACTCAGTGTAACATCACTATTACTCAACACAGCCATTTGCTTGTCTGTGACACAGGCGCATCATAAACCTCTTCAAGTTAAGGAAAAGGCCAAAGGGCATTGTTTATTTACAGTGCATCTCTAAAGGTCGTGTTTTTATGATTTCCCAAACGTTGTTCTTCTTTTCATCTCAATTTGTGATTAATGTTTTTAAGCAAAGCCATGCATTCAGAAGCTTCATCGGGAAATCGTACTGTACATTAATTCAGTCATTAAATATTTGTCATTTCTGAGAAATTAAAAATAAATTAAAATGACATTGGGACAATGTTGGGTTGAAATTGTGCTATTAGCCTCATTTTATTCAGTAAGCATGTTTTATTTATATAATAATTTTTGTTTGGACAATAAGATGCTTATGAGTTTACTTCTTTAGTTTTCTATAGGTCGCGCCACTTTTTCGAGTCACGTGATATAAATAAAAACGTAATTCGTTTCAATTGAAGTAGTAATTTTCGTTAGCCAGTCTCCCAATTTATTTACTACTAGATTTATTACTATGTGACGCCGGAAACACGATTCATCAACACCGTCATGTGTTTCCTGGACGACGGAGCTTGCACTGTCACCATCAGAAGCGCACCCAAAGTATGATCACCATTTGTTTGTTGGACGCCAGATCTACACCATCGCCACCATCGGAAACCGAAAAAATAATCAGGATCAGTTCTATTTCCTTTCGAGAGATTGGCCGTCGCCACCATTGCATAATAATTGGATTTCGAATCCAAGAAGATAATTAGATTTTGAAGGGATGGGGAAATGGAAGTGACAGAAGATTAGATTGACATTTGGGGCGGGGAAAGATTGTTGGGAAGGAAGGTATGGAGAGCGGTTGAAAAAGTTGACAGTAGAAATGGGCATAAAAAAACTACATTTTAATTGGTAACATCGGTAGTAAACGTCGTCGTTTAGCTCGCCACATTAATTAGGTTATTTCTCTAGGCTAATAACATATTTGGTTGGCAAAAAAGGGACACAACTTTTTTTTTTGTGAATACAATTCTTACAAGCACCAAGGCTATTACATGTGTGAGTCATGTTAATAACTTTATTAATTGACCAATATAGACTTGTTTTAAATTTCTGATATCATATTAATATATTAACTAATTAAAGGCTCAATTTAAAATTGATGATGCCATGTGAACTAGTAGGCTAATCAGAATACTCAATTTGATTTCTGACAAATTACGTTCAAGATTCTAGACTCACCAAGAAACATTTATTTATGTATATATATTATTATCTTGCTGTGAAACAGACTAGTTATTTTTACTGTTAAAAAATAAAAAGAAAAAAAAGAAAAAGCTAAGTACGTAGTTTTACTTCAATGATCAATTCAATAATACTATCATGATTTATGGAAGGTAATTCAACCTCATTTAGGCAATCATACTTATCGCAACTGAACAGAGCCTACATGGTTGTCCAACTAACCCACTTAGTGGAATAATCATGCACTGATGGTAAATGTAAATAGCATGTCGCAAGTAGCAATTTTTGGGATAGAGACTTCGGAGAATGATTTGTGATATTTAACACAACTAGACAAAAAGATACAAAGGTAAAGTAATTACATCATATTGTTTTTATGTAAATTGTAAACTGTAAAATTTGCGACCTTCAATGAATTGTTCTTCGAACCTAAACACTTATATTATTTCCACAAAGCAGTCCTCCTTTTTTATTTTTGGTTTTACTCTTCTCCACTAGATCTGCACACCAACAGATTCATCTTTTTTGGAAATCTGAGCGTTGAAACCGTTGGGAAACTGTAGTCCAGGAGTTCTCAATATATCTCCTCCCGAGATCGCTTTGCACCTGGAAATAATTTTGTGGGCAAACAAGTTATCATTTAGCTTGCACTCTAGTTTATTAACAGTAATTTCCATCCCAAAAAAAGTCTAAACAGACAACTTTTTTTGGGGATGGACGAAACATGTGATATAACAGTAATAAACCAAACTGATAGACAAGTCATTGGTTCTTACATGTACTTGGTCACAAAGCAATGAAGAAAGACAGCCATTTGCAATTTGGCGAAGTCCGCCCCAATACAGAATCTCATTCCTCCTCCAAATGCCATGAAAGACCTAGTTGCGCCATTCATATCGAGTCCCTGCATGAAAATCCCAAAAAAAAAAAAAAGAAAAAAAGAAAAAGGAATGAGTACAAATATCGATTAATTGTTAACATAATTTAACAAAGATGGTGGCAATCTTCTTGTATTAATGGATACAAATTTTTAATCATAGATGACTCTATTAAATAACTTTTGCTGTAATAATCAGAAATTGACAACTTTTTAGAGAATGTTTTTGAAAATGCGAATTGAAGAAGACGGAAGAAGTGTTGGTATAGACTTAACATTTAAAAAGTTCTAATTGTAAGGCTTCTCACCTTCCATCTCCATGGATTATATTCAAGGGGATCTTCATATCTAGCAGGATCTAAATGCACGACCGGAGGACAAGCCATAATAGCCCATCCGGCAGGGATGGTATAACCTGCCATATTTGCCATATTTCCATATAATCTCAAACTTCAGTTTAAGAGACACATATGACCATAGTCAATTTCTCATTTTCAAGGACAAAAAACTTCATATATACCTTTGAAGTTGATATCTTCTCGTGCTTTTCTGAAAATTCCAGGAGCAATATTTGCCAACCTTACTGTTTCGTTGATAACCTGAAGATTTGATAACTCGGTAAATCGCTAATCATACCATAATTTTTGAAACTTTATAACAATTATTTGTATTTCATCCATCTCAAAATAATTAATAATAAAATTATGCATTTGATTTTTTAGTTTATCAAATAAAATATTCGGTAATTCCTTGAACCACTTTTAATTTTATTTTTGTTAGTTGACGACTATGAGTAGATTAGATGAGGAAATTGTATTTTTCCTAAAATGTATTAGTTATATTACCAATTTGCTTTAATACATTCTTATAAAATAAACTTATCGCAGTCATTTTATATATATTTGATTGGGAATATTGTACGTCCACCTGAAAAGTAAAAGTCATGGACTTGAATTCTCTCCAAGTGAGGGAGGAATCAGGGTTTTCCCTCTCCCTAATAATTTCTTCATGCTCTTCCTGCGAAATAGTGGTAGAATAATGTTAACCCTCGGGCACTGGCACAATTTCCCACTTCTTTCAGAGCGAATGTTGCTTGCTTATAACCGAACAAATTATACTCATTCGGCCCGAATTAAAATGTCACATATTATATACTCCCCCGGTCCTTATTATAAGACATTTTGAGACATTTTGATTTCATCTTAAATTTCACATAAGATTTCTTTTTAATTGGAATAAAAATCTTAAAAAATATTTAATAATAATTAAGAGAACACCATGAATATAAAAATATATTTTTAAAATTTTTTTCTAATTAAATTTAGGACGAAATAAAAATACTTTATAATAAGGACCAGAGGGAGTATTAAAAAAAAAAACCGCCTTCTCAAAAATTTTAATTCAACAAAGTCTACTATTCCCGTCCCATTTGTTACTGACCGTCAATTCCTTTAATGCCAACGGGTGCTCAAGCAGTAACTTTATTGCTAAAGTTAACGCGATGGAAGTGGTCTCATAGCTAGCAAAGAGTAGCACAAACATTAGATCCAAAGCAATAGCCTCTGTAAGAACTGTGTCCTCCTTCCCTAGTTCTTGTAGAACATAATCGAAGAAATCGCTTTGTTGCCTCCCTGGATTCGTTCTTCTTTCTTGCAACATGTCCTTCAGCACCTTCATTGCCTTCTTCCTTCCCTGATCAATTTATTACAAACAAAAACATAATTAAAAAAAAGTTTAACTGGACTAATTATTCGTAACTAAAACAAAATTGGTTATGGAGTAATACCTCTAAGCATTTGTGATAAGCAGTTCCAGGAATGTTTAGAGGGAAAGAAATCAAACCCTCGATGAAAGCTGCAAAGTGTTTCCTGAGGCTTTCGGACGATTTTATTGGATCATAACTTATCAGTTTCTTTGCAGTAAGATCAAATATCAACTGTAAGAAAACACCGAATTAATGGATAAATTAGATATGGACATAAAAAGGTTAACTTTATTAGTAATTACTCCCTCCGGTATTTAATTATTATATGGTATTCTGATTTTTCAGTTTCATTTTCTTATTGAGAAAAAAAAAACTTCAAAAATATATTTAATAATGAGGAGAATACAATTAATGAATATGAGAATCCATTTTAAAGTTTTTTTTTTCAATCAAAAAAACAAATTAGGTGAAATTTATGGCAAATAAAAATGCCTTCTAGTAAGGACCGAAGGAGTAAATAAAATCAAATGAATATAAATTACTTTGAGAAACTCACACTTGAAGTAGCATCTTTCAATTCGACATAATTTTGGGTAGACCATCTTTTTAAATAAGTATTTGAAGCCTGTTCCACATCAGGGAGCATTTTCTTAAGACCCTCTGGACCAAAGAGAGTTAGTACCATGTTTTTGAGGTACTTGTACATGAAACCATGGAGAGATCCAACATTCTGTTTTCCAAATATCTCAGTGAAAGTTTTAGGATACCAGCTCTCAAACAATTGGCCCTCTTGTTGAAAAATGAAGTAATTAAGGTCCGAATCTGCGGATACTATAAGTGGTTGTCCCACCAAGCTAGTCCGAAATATCGGACCATATCTGCACAAACATTGTACGTATTACTATTGTTGTAATTATAATGAGACGGGAAAAAATAACCATTCCAAAATTATTGTCCAATTTGAATTTTTTATTTTTAGTTCAATTTGTACTAAAACTGAAATCGAAACTGGATAATAGTTACGGGACGGAAGGAGTATAATATTTGAATCGTTGGCCGTATTCGTGAAACATCGTAAAAATTTAACAACGTGATTAGTACCTCTTCATTCTGTCTTTGACAAAGGGATTGATGTCGAAAGTCGACGTAGGAGAGAAGAATTGAAGAGTTTCGCCGAGGAGTGGCCATCCCATTGAACCTGGAGGGAGTAAACCGTTGCATTTTGGATTCCTCCATTTATGAACAAAACGTGCAATCCAGACAAAAATCAGAACTGTTGCAGTGCAAAAAACTGCAGCAGACATTTTAGTCTAGCTAGAAAATCGGTTTGCAAAAAATGCTGATATATGAAATGAATAAACCAGCTGGGTGTGAGGGTAATATGAGGAAATAGGGATTGTAATGACGAAGTTTTGTATTAAACCTCGTTGTAACAATCCCCAGGAAAAAAAACAAGAAAAAAGAGAGGGAACTAAGGAAAAACGAGGATGTCTATTGAGAAGAAAGAGCTTTAATGGAGGGATATGTTTTGTAGTACAAAAGAATGTGCACTGTTTAAATAGGCAGAACTAGAGTTTGAAAATAAGAAATCTAAACGCATTGGGTTCATTTTTGGTTTTATTTTTTTATTTTTTTAAATTCAACTTACTGAATAACGTGGTACTAAAAAACACTCAAGATCAACTTACTCCACAAAACTACGTTGACTCACTTACACACTTTAATACATCAATATGCTATAGGAAAATGTTAGTTTAGTAAGTCAAAATTAGGTGTGTGTACAACAATTGCCTTTTTGGCGATGTTGATAATGATAATAATACAGAATAAATGAATAATTCATTACTTCCGTTCCGAAATAATTTATACTGAATTTTGAAATTTACTCTAAAAATCATATACAGTAGAACCTCTATAAATTAATAAATCTGCGACCAATTTTTTTTTTTTTTTTTGGTATCAATGTAAATTTTATTGCTTCCAATACAGAATTTTACACGCAGTGTACTACTTCTATTACATTCAAGTTTTACAAAATTTTGGGTGTATTCACAGCCTAACTAAAAATCGTATGTCATCACTATTATTCTTTATACAATGATACGGTGTATTCCACTTAAGTTCTTGCTGATCCAACTCAATTCTTGCTGACTGATCATTTTCTTAGTACCAAATTTTCTCTCATTTCTTTCCCTCCAAATATTGTAGACAACTGTCACAAAGCAAGCATGTAAGACCTTCTGCTTCACTCTTCTGAATCTCCACATATACATTAGCTAGCTTAGCAATACTCCTGTTTAAGACTGTCATCTTGGTGGAAATTCCTAACCAACTCAGAGCACCCTTGATTACACCTTGTGCAGAGGCATTGCAAAGCTCACAGTTATTACGACCATTAAGTATTCCCATTTTCTGTAGCCTTTCCTTTTTGTTAGCAGCTTCCTTTTCCATGTCAACCAACAAATGAAGCTCTGCTTTGCTATACAGTAGGTATTCCATATTAGTTTTTAGTTTCCTTTTGCTTCCCATGAGACCCTCTCATCCATTGATTACTAATTTATAGAGTTTTTAATCTATCGATAAAATAATAAATGATGAAGTTATAGAGTTTTCTCAACCTTTTTAAGAAACAAATTATCAAATTTTATTATTTTCCCCGCTTGCAACCCTATATATGTTATTATAAACTTTCTAATGGAACAAAACGATATCTACTGCATAGGTATTTATTAATTTCTGAAATTGTAGGGACCTATATATATTTATACAGGAGAATCTTGAAAAATTATTTTCTTATTAATTACTCGAGACTTCATTTTTTGTACTCGTTTCGATTTGGGACCAAAAAAAATATTATTGATGGAGGTTATTAATTTATAGAGAATTTATTTACCTAGATTCTACTATAAGGAGAAGGATCTAACCAAGGGAATCCACGTTGTTTCTGTAAGTTATGTTTTCAGGAATATTATCTGTTTAATGTACATTTTCACTTTTAGTTCAATTTGCACGAAAAATAAAATTTCATAGTGGATAATAATTAGTTATAAAGACATCCGTGTTGAGCAATACAATTAGAATCAGGCAGACAAAAAGGGCAATAGATAGATGATCATGCTTACTGAATTTGCAAGGTATGGAAAATGATTTAAATATTTATAATGATACAAAATATTCCTCAATTTCTTTGCATAAATGAATTCAAGTTTCGGTACCGTGGGTGTACAAACATCGGCGATGTCGTGTCATGTATCAGGAAAACATAATACTCCCTCCGTCCCATAATTATTGTCTAGTTTTACTAAAATGAAAGATTTTATTTTTTGTCAAATTTACCTATATTTTATCTTAAACAACCGGATATATCCCTACGTAAGTAATTGTTTAACCACTAAGATTTTATGGATAATGTTTTTTATTAAGGACAAATGTGTAATTTGATCCATAAAAAGTCAAATTGGACAATAATTTTGGGACAAAATTTTTTGGGCAAAGTGGACAATAATTATGGGACGGAGGGAGTATATGAATTTTAAGTCCTTAAATGAACATTTTCGGTCCATATTGGCAACATATGAGTAAGACGTTGGAGAAAAGAAACTACTGAAGGTGGACGGCGAAGACTTGGGCTTGAAAGCAAGCCTTCCGTATGTACCCCCCCAACATCAGCTATTTATGGACTCAAATTAACCAGCACAAACTTGACGTTGACTGTCAATTTCATGGATTAATATTGACGACTGTGAAGCAAAATGTATAAGCAAGACTTAAGAAGAGTCAATTTAGGATTTAGAATGAATTTACATGATTGGTCCCTCAACTTTGTGTTAAAAACTTTTCTCTCTTTCATAGATCAACATAAATCTAATTCACCACGACACAACGTCAGAAATTAAACTTGAAAAACTCATAAGGAGCAGTGTTAGTTATCCTGCGTACTGATAGATAAACATCAAAATACGAGCAGCTGAGACCGAGTTAATTTCGTTATTTAAAGTTTTGTATCAAAGCATCTTTGAAAGATTATTGCACGTGTTAAAAAAGATTAGGTGTTTTTCCTTTTGAAATTTTTTTCTTACAAATTATTAATCATATTAGAACTGGAGACTGAAATTTAAATCTTTGGAAATTAAAGCGGAAAAAGTAATGATGTCCTTCGAAGTTGAGAGACCATTCACATAATTTTTTAGATATTGTAATTTTAAATTATGAACCACATACTAGCTATAATAATTTTTCTTTAATAATGAAGAGTGCAATAAATGATGTGTCAATTATCTAAACTATGTCCTAACTTTAAATATATATAAATCCATAGAAACTTTTAAAAGTGTAGTGATAATGCTTAGAAAAAATTACAAGGAAAATTATAAGGAATAATGTATCAATCATCTAAACTATGACCTAATTTTTAATGTCTAACTCTCGGATGGAAAGTTTTAAAAATGAATGTTTTGACATTATTCCTTATTATTTTTCTCGTATTTTTTTTCCCTACACAAATCATTATTCCTTTTAAAAATGAATGGGTAAGATTATTTTTTTTTTAATCATTTTTGCTTGTAACTTTTTCCATGTACGTATCATTATTTATACTACAAAGGTTAATCCATTACAATATTAACATTATATAGGGAAAAGACCAACGTTGTTCTTTTCCAACCATAATTTAACATTCGGTAGTGTCTCATCTAACATCTTCATGAGTTGTTCTTTTACTCAACGTAATCTACAAATTCACCCTCTATATGTACAGTACAAAAATCCTTCCTTGAAAAATCAATTTCATTCGAGAAGATGGAGCCGTGTGTTATAGGAAGATGGGATGGATTAGGAAGTTGGAATTCAAGGGCTAACGACGGATACTTTTAATATTCAAGTCTATATATTTTGCTGTCTTATTGCAGGAAAGTGTAGTCTTCACGGAGAACTTTCCTTTCATGGAATGGACAAGTCTATTAATTTAAAGCCAAATAGCAACATTTCTACACTCATTTATTTAATTTAACGTACTTCCTCCATCCCAAAATTATTGTCCGGTTTGAGATTTCACTTTTAGTACAATTTGAACTAAAAATGAAAACTCAAACTTGACAATAATTATGGGACGGAGGGAGTACTTGATGGAATCTAGTCTATGTCGTCCATCCATCCAAGAAAAATACAACATATTATAAATAGCAAAAATACTTTTAATGCCAGTACAATTTATATTTTAGAATAATGTGAACAATTAATTCTTTTAGGACGGTGAAAGTAGTTGCTTAACATGTTCAATAATGGTTTATTTTAGTTTTTTTCTTGCATTTTCCATTTCATCTTTTTTTTTCCCCCTTCGCTTTATTTGTTTCATTTTAACTCCGTAAAGGGTTCTATGATGAACATGCATGCGAGGATTCAGGGAGAACAAGTTTATTCAAGAAAACTAAAGTGTTGTTCGTTTTCTTCATATTTGAGTTAAGCATGCATACTCTCTTAAGAGAGACTTTTTTCTTTTTTTTTGGGGGGGGAGGGGGGGGGGAATGGTAGGAATTTAGGGTCAAGTGTTAGATGATCGTCTTTGCGAAGAACTTCGTGAATGAAAGCATCAATTTTGAAAGAACTTGTATAGTTCTATTCAATCTTTTTTTCTTCCTTTTTTTCCCCTCTTCTAATGCTAATAATACTCACTTGGCTAACATAGGTATACATTCACAAATATCACTACAATAAAAAGGGGCTGATAGGACATTTTTTGTCTTTAAAAGTTACATAATAGGACACTTTGTCAGTAAGACACATACAAATAGTGTCCTTTATTCTCTAATCACAATAGGTCAATAGAACACTTAAAAGTGTCTAATGACACTATCCCTAATGAGACACTTCATATATGTCTTATTTAGTTATGGGTCACTTACGAAAATAAGACACTTTAAAGTGACCTATTTAGTGTAGTACTATTAGAACTGTTTAAAGTGTTCCAAGTCCCAACAAGTGTTGATTTAAAAAATAAAATAAAATAAATAAAAAACAGTAGCCTACCACAATCAATAAAAGTAAAAAATAAAAATTTAAATTGCCTCAAGTGTTGACAATTTCCGTATAAAATGAAATATACAATGAGATTAAGAAAGAATAACAGATGACTGTTTTTCTTGAACATTATTACAATGGTTCCTAGATACCTAATAACTAAAGTAACATCCAACCGCAAAATGGAAGAACTTCTTGACAATCCTTCCAACTTTTTGCTCATCTTCCTCCACTGGAGAATGAAGTTCGAGCAGTAATTAATTCGAATTTTGATATACTCATATAATGAATCGAAAAAAAAGGACTTTCCATTAAAGGTTATTGAATAGGAGTGAAGATTCTTATTAGCTAGGCCAAAGACAGAGACCATAACACTTACAGCTAAAACTGAATCCTTCACGCAAGATCTGGGCTCTTCTTGCTTGTTCCAGGGGTAGACGGACAAGGTCTCATTTCACTGTTTCCGGCTGTTGACATGCCGGAATCAGGGGTATTTTCGTCTTTTAATTTAATTTGAATTTCTATTAAAATTTAAATTATAATAAATATTTTAAAATTCAAATTTTATTATTTAATTGTTAAAAGATTATTTATTAATTAAAAATATTATCATAAATTTTTTAAGATTTATTATTATGTTCAAAATT